TCAGCACGAAACGGAGGTGGTTGTTTTGGTGTCCAGCCCAACTCAAAGTGGTTATGGTTGAGACTTGCTATCTGGTTCTTCACTGGACTAAAGATGGCATAGCCAAGGTCCCAGGACTATATTCTTAACTATATTAGTAATAAATATACAAAAGTAACACAGAAAAGAAACTTAACTTGGTTCAGCAGATATAATGAAAATACCAATAGGTCTGTTGCAAGACACGTACAGCGGTGTGCCATATATTTAAGAACAAACATGGCTTGACGTCACCGGCAAGACGCTGGGCAGCGGCAAAATCAAACTCGCGTAACAACCAAATTAACTGTAACTGACCTTAATACTTGGTGATGTATCCCTTGGCAGCAATGATTTTCCTCAGACGACGTGGGATAGACAAATACAGGTTTCTGATATAGTTCAAAAGTATGTTTTCCCACACGTGTCGGATCTCTCGTTCCAAGTCCTCACGGGTATTGATGTAAACTATACGTTGTCGCAGTCTGGTTTTCAGCAGAGGCCAACAGTTCTCTACAATATTGGCATCTGGATACATTGCGGGCCACAAAATGCCATTTATGTCATTTCTTTCTTTATATTCTGCTACGATACGGGCTCTGTGCACAGGCGCATTGTCGTCTTGAAATATATAATTTTGATTCGGGAAATGCCGGACAGTAACAGGCCACAACTCGGAAGCAAGAATATCTATGTATTTCTGAGCATTTTAGTTACCTTCTACAACAGTTAATGTTCCAACACCATGCCAAGTAACGTAGCCCCAGACCATCAAAGAAAGACGTGCGTGACACCCGGGACTGAGGGGTGTACTCTTCGCCCGGCCTTCCCCACACATACACACGGTTGTTTTCCCCAAGAATTATTTTACATTCATCACTGAAGATGACACTGCTCCATTCTTCATTAATTTTTCCATCGAAGTTTTCTTCTGGCCCACGCATGGCGATTTCTCACATTCACATCTCTAATCCGGATTTTCTTTCGTCTGTGATAATTATTGTCGAATATTTTTCTTTGAATCGTACGCTTGGAGACAGTTCTGATCCTATTCTGATTAAACCCCGAGGTGATTTCCGACAAAGGAGAAATCCGACTGTTTTCCACTAACTTTAAAAGTTGACGAGTATCCCGTGCAGTCAGCAATCGACGTGCAGTTATTGGGCGATTTTCTGTGCTGCCAAGTTCCACAAATCCCTTTAAAACACTGTAAACTGTTTTCCGAGGTGAACGAAGATCGATGGCAATTTCATTGTATTTTGGTGTTGTTGGAACATCGCAGTAATCAAATCTTTAACAGGCTGTGACAATTCTCTTTTTTTCCCCATGCTACCGGAAGTCGCCTGCGTAAACAGGCACACGACACAAAACGTCACGTAACTGTCACGTGCTGAAAGAGCAGGGTTAATTTTAGTATCCTGTTGAATTTCACGACCGTACGTCACCTGTGTCATACAGAATTTATATTTTAAATGAACCGTTAAATTTCATGATTCTCACTATTTGAGATTTGTTCATAAACTTTTGCCACACCGCTGTATGTCCACGAGGGGGCGTGCCTTAAGTTGAAATCACAGTTCTACTGCTCTTCAGCTAAGACTGAATACTGTCCTGTTGAAGTGTTCTCTATTCTTCCTGCAACATTTTGGACAATTAAGTGTATGACTGAGACAAGATTTAGAGTGACATCGACAATATTTCAGCAATATCGTGACTGTAACAATATATACTTTAATAATATATAAAGTTATTTCGTACCATCTGTCAACTAGGGATAATTAAACTAGGTTGTCACAGATCGAAATTTACAATTAACATGTAAACAATAAACATTTACTAAAATACAGGATTATACAACATAGAAAACCGGACTATAGGTCACCAGCAACTGAAGGCAGATCATCATAAAGGGACCATGGGGACTTACAGTACGTTTGCTACCTGCATGAACCCTAGCTGGATTGACACCATCACCTCAGCTGCTTGCGAGGTAGGAAAATGTAGCCGGCAGTTAAAAGAACAAAGATACTACGTTTAAAATAAGGTAAATTTACATTTTACTTTGAATGAGTTCAGCCCAAAATTAAAAGGACAAATATACTACGTTTAAAGTATGTTGTGTGTAGAAATACATCGAAATATGTGGAACTTACATACCCTCTTCGGGGCACAATTATTTGGACAGTTAAGCACGTGTCTGTCGTGTATACGTCGCGATAGACTTACACCGATTTCGAGTTTATCCGAAAGCAGCCCTGTTGTGTTCGGATTCGGAGATCTGGATGGCCATGGCAGCCATTGACGTTTGAATTGTGAAGGAACAATGATACAGGGTATAAGTGGTGTAGCGTTGTAGTGTTGAAAAGACTCCTTCTGTCGGTTGACAGTCGGAAGGAGGTGAAGTAGAAGATTTTGGTCCTTGATTCCCCTTATTACACTGGATCATATCCCCTCGTGTCGAGCGCAGTTTGGTGCCGAATGTTCATTTGGTTTCATCTTTTGGTACGTCGGTACATACGCTGTCTTCCATCTCCATAGAGACGAAATTGTGAGTCCTTGTTTGTATTGTACGTTGTCGTCTATGCAAATGTCTATATCCAATTCGCACCTCTCGCTGACTATTCTTGATAGTTTGGTCCGAGACACACGTTTTGCAAAGACTTGAACATACCAATCTTGTGCAGTCGTGACTCCTGGTCTACCAGTGTTAGCCCGGAGTACAACTGAATAAACTAACAAAACATTCGCTCAATGTAAACTATACATTGCATGGAGATTCACGTATGTATTATGCAATGTGTACACAGTCTAAGCCCAATGAGAAGATCCAATATTTACCCAAAATAGGAAATCCATTTTATCAAAACGTATGTTGGCTGTTAGGGAAGCAGATATATTATTGGGACTGGGATTTTCTAATCAATGGTAATAGCGTGATTCGTGCTATATTCATACCAATAATTGTCATGCAAACTTATGCTATCATGAACAGGTTCCCCCTGTACAGCTTATTGATATACTTTGCTTTCAGTGATGATCAATGCTATTCTTCCAACCGGATACATCATTTCCTAACATTTACACAGTGGACACACGGGGAATCGTTAAGCTTGTAAATGGAACAGAGACTGATAATTGCTAGCTTCTAACTTATTTACAACTGTTTGTACACGGTTTGTGTAAATGTCTCCGTACAATACAGCTTAGTTAGTCCATATGGTTTACTGGACCTACACAGCTATGCTGCTTCTGTTGCTGGTATCAGCGTTTGGTCAGGCATTATCTCTTGGTGAGTTTAACTTTAACGTTATTAAATTAGAGCTGGTATTTTTTGTACCTGATGCTTTGTTAGTAATTCATCATTGGCTCTATTTTAGACATCTAATCCAAGATGAAGAAGCAAGTTCACTGCAATAAATTAGCTTAATTGTTCGTATTGCGTATGTTTGTAAATGTCGATGAAATGCTGTGATAAATATTATTTATCATACCCTCTTTGTAAATTGCAAATAACAATACTATTCACGTAAACCTAAGGGCGAAAGTGTCAGTGGTTCTTTGTTGCGCAGTCAGGTTCTCTCTTTGTTAATGGGCGGTGTGGTAGCCTAGAGGTTAAAGCGTTCGCTCGTCATGCCGAAGACCCGGTTTCGATTCCTCACATGTGTTCAATATGTGAAGCCCCTTTCCGGTGTCCCCCGCCGATATTGCTGGAATATTGCTAAAAGTGGAGTAAAACTAAACTCACGCACTTACACACTCTCGAGCTCTTTGTTACTTGTATATGTCGTCACTGGTAAAGAAGCATAACATTTACTTACATTTAGTGTTGATCTAAAAGATGTTATATGTGAAAACCGTCTTTTCTGGTCACAAAAATGCTGAAGGTATCATCCACCCTGAAGTATGCATTATTACAATACACTGTACGCTAAAACAAAAGCCCAAATAACACAAACATAATGATTCTGTCCGTCCAAACAATATAAATCAACATATTGCAAGGAATTTGACTTGAGCACGAACGTTCAAAGGGATTGACCGTTCTGTCACTCTGCAAACAATACTGATTATACTTCGAGACGATTGGCCAAACTGGAGCAGCCCAAGTTGCAAACATGTTCATGGTACACATGTCCATCACCGCCATCCTGGCGAGTTGTAATGGAACTGTCACCAACAACAGTCCAAGAAATGCCCGAAACAACCCATACACCCTGGGGTGACGATTGACAGAATGTGACTTGGGATGCATGCGGCCATCAAGACATCTCTTTGTTTTGTAGGCATGACATGGTTTCCCCGGGTAGAATATTGTTTAGTGTTGTTGAACTGAAATTACATAGCAGTATGACTATAGAAATGATTAAGCTTTCTTCTGGTATTCAGTTTAAAAAGTCGCCCTCGCGAATTCAGAGATACTGTAGTTCCAAATATTGCTCAGCGATTACCATGGACCTGCTCAGCAATGGATACAAAATGTATCTATATGATATATAGAAGTTCTTGTATCAGTGAAGACAAGAATGACTAGTGAATTGCTTCAACATTTTGTATTCTTCTAATGCGATGTTTCGGCGCAGATATCATAATGAGGGTATTCTGCACCATTCTGTCACCAGAAGCATGGAAGACATACACGGTCATAACTACTGCAGGTGGGTAACGGAGAACCAAACGGTCGGCGAAAGGGTGCAAACCATATCCATATATTGTAAATCTATGTAAGTGAAATATTGAAATATTTGTAAGCACCTATTTCTTTATGTCAGTTAAATAAAAATAATCACAAATATCCTCTTTTATAACGAAATGTACCTCAGCCCTCACGATTTGTCACACGCAAATATTGCTACACGAGTTCATATGGCGTGATTGAGATAAATGATGGGTATTTACAGAGGCTACCTTTTTCAGAGAATAGACATATTCCTTGCGACACTACTTCTTCACCCTCTACAGCAATGGTTTTCGAAGTTCACGACATGAATGGCGAGAATAGGACTGAAAGCCTTGACCTTGACAGCATCTACAAGCTCCATCAGGAGAAATACCTCAACATCCTTGTGATGTGTTCCGCTAACTGTATCATTGAACTCCTCCGTCAGGTACAACGTCATTATACGTCTCATAATTTTATAATTTTTCAAAATGTTTTTTTGATAGTGGTTTAGTTGTATCATGTTAGCTAGAACATATTGTTGAACAAAGAATTATAATCATGATGATTATGAACGTGCAAGCAAATATCACGCAGATATTGGTGAAAATGAAAAATGGAGGGGAATATGTGCATCAAACATCACATGCTTTATGTCGGAGATATCGCTTGAATCTGTTAATTCCGGATGTAGAATCAAGATAAGACAAACGGGTAAAAGTCTTTGACCTACATGATTATATGTAAGCGTAACTGAAGTTACTGTTGTCTCAAACAGCTTAGCATTGGTGACAATCAAATAATGACACATATAAGGCCAGGAAGAAATCTGCCAACACCATTCACTAATACAATGATCTTTTGGTTCACTAAAGGTATAAAGACATGTCCATCCCCCTGTTGAACTGGATTCTAAAGCTACAGAAAATCTGATACAGATCAATGTCGCAAACATTAACCGTAATCTGCAATACGATCAATACAATTGAGATAAGCGGAATTAATACCATCTAGATTTTCAAAAGCTCAAAGGATTTACTGGAGTCTTTATAATTTCTGAAACGGACCTGGTTTAGTTCTTTTCAAACATTTGAATTTTTAGCTTTGTATACCACTATCCCGCATGGCAAAATTAAGGAAAAACGGAGTTTTACGCATAGGGCATTTGGTTCTATAAATCATAAACTTTGGGAGGAGCATTGATATATTTACATATCTGTGAGTGAGTGAGTGAGTGAGTGAGTGAGTGAGTGAGTGAGTGAGTGAGTGAGTGAGTGAGTGAGTGAGTGAGTGAGTGAGTGAGTGAGTGAGTGAGTGAGTGAGTGAGTGAGTGAGTGAGTGAGTGAGTGAGTGAGATTTTATAGTCAAAGCGGCAGTATTTCTGCCATATCGTGATTTAAAATAGTTATAAATTCGTGATAAATGCACAAATTTTAAAAACCTGTCGACGAAGGACAGTAAAACCAACTAGTATATCACAGTATCAAGAAATAAAATTAGCATATATCTCTAAAATAGAATTTCAGATTACAAAAAGACATTATAAAAAAAAGGCTGAGGATCGCCAACAGCTGAAGGTAGATCACAGTTACAAATCTGTCTTCAGGGATTTACGATAATTGTCAAAAATGAGCAAATCTCAACTGACGTTTAATGAGAAAGCAATACGTGAAATGCTGGACTTGCCCAATGATCTCCGTCGGATACAACATTTAGACAAGTAGTCATCCCAAAAGGCACCCAATATGCTATCCTCCTTGCGAATCTGTTTCTTTATACAAGTTCTGCTTACGAAATCAAAACAAGGTTATTTGACCAAGACATTTAACTTAGGCTTCAGGTATATCCATAGCAATATCGTTCAGTAACCATTAACATCCAATCCGCTGATTTACCCACCTGAACTTGAAATAACAGAGACCAGTGAGAAAGTCTAATCTGTATAATATTTAGTTCTATGCATTAAGATTCAGAGTTACAAGAACAAAAACAAAACAAATCTCCTGCAAGCTGAACTCAAACGTTCAGTGTACATTCCACAACTTTTAATGTAAACGTTTCATCCAGCACACACACACACACACACACACACCTCATAATAGGTTAAATCAACCGATTTCAAAGGTGTCATACGGCTCTTGTCAAGAAGTCGATCAATGTGAGAAGTCCTCAGAACATTAGATGCAACGATCGGTGACAAAAAGACAAAATGATGTCCGTTTTATGTACTAGATGGTTGAGTTTATCAGTTACTAAATCTTTGCCTAGGCCCATCTGGCGGAGACAGACAGGAAGAAGGATGAGAAACAGGTGGTGTCCAGATGGCTGGCCATACCTACTTCAGGGGCTGTGAAGGACATCGCGACAACTCGTGAGACCATCGCGACAACTCAGTTGATCATTTTCGAGGCCAACAACATCCACCATTTTTCTTGTGATGTGAGCGTGTGTGGGATGAAGTGTTTGAATACATGCGATCGAGAGATGAAACGAAAGACCTCGTGAATGGCTCCTCAGGTCGTAGTGATATTATACAGGTTGTTCGTGGTTTAAATGCAGAAAATGCCCAACTTTGGCGGTCAGCTCTCGTGTCTCTCTCATAGGAAGGGGTACCAAGGAAAACGTTTGCAACCAATAAAAAGAAACCTACACTCATATTTTGTAATCATAATAGTAGTAGTTCATGATGATACTGATAATTATGATGCATGTGATCGTACGATTAGTTGATGCGCGTTATTGTATCCCAGTTGCGTTGATCGATATGGTCAAGATGTTAAATACTGGATTGTCTCATCAAGATTCGATTATTTACAGACCGCTGTCATATAGCTGGAATATGTCTGAGTGCGGCGTGTAACAGCATACATGCCAACAAGAGTTATAGCTTTAGGGATTGACCCTTGTCACATTAAGATGTCAAAATATTATAAGGCAAATCAGTATTTTGTGTGTTTCATTGAATTACTGTTCTTGTTCAAGAACCTAACACCTAACATCTCATTTGACAATGAGCTGCTCTAGCGTGAATTGGGTGAAGAATGTTAACTTTCTTTTTTCAGAATATGTCAAGTAGGGATATATTCTCCTTTGTTAATCTTTATTGGGTGAGTGGAACCAAGGACAAACGGGAGTTACATGCTTTAGGCGCCTTAAGAAACAAGGAATGGTCGACGATTAAGGACACTTTATACCCTAAAGACAAACATGGATTCCATAACAAATCACTAACTGTTGCAGTGTTGAAGGTAGGTACAACCTGATTTGATTAATGTAAGTGTTTGGTACGAATCATAGTATAGTTTACAATGTTTGAGAGATAAACTCAGTAATGATTCCGGTCGTTTCTGTCATTTCTCCCACGCGACTCGATTGAATATATGTTTGGGCGATACCAATGCTCAGTGGGTGTTAAACTCCAGTATATTTATGATTACACAATGCCATTTAGAAAGTGGTTAAATGTAACACATGTTATATTTGGGATTACACATTTGGGAATTTACACTTTCAGAGGGGTACACAAAGTCCGCAGTCTAGACTACCAGTTGTCCGACTTCCATTTTTGTGGAAGTCGCGGTTGGTGAGCGGGTTAGGCGGCTGACTTTGTGTGCTGTCGATTTGGTGCCGTACTCTGAGGGTGTGGGTTCAAATCCTATGAAACCTAGAGAAACCTATGTGAAATAGAAGGAGGCCTTATAAACGCCATGATCAACATATGTTCGGATCAAGGAATCACGGGAGTTTGTATGTTAACAAGCTTAGGTGTTCTTCTTTAAGTGTTATAAAGTTGCCAGGAACACGTTCCCCAACCAAACGAGATTTTACTATACCGTGAAGTTCCGGGTTAGAATATTAATCTTCAGTAACCCCATGCTTGTCGTAAGAGGTGACTAATGGGATTGGTTGACACATGTCATCGGTTCCCAATTGCGCAGATTGATGCTCATGCTCTTGATCACTGGATTGTCTGGTCCAGACTCGATTATTTACAGACCGCCACCATATAGCTGGAATATTGCTGAGTGCCGCGTAAAACTAAACTCACTCACGCATTCATAAAAATGGCACGTTTTAGTCAACCCTTCAGTTAGAGGTCTTGTGAGACGAAGCGGAATCACCCTAACATCCAGCCATCTGACTGGCTCAAGAAACCACCAATCAAACCTTTGATTGCGAGGTAAAAGTTCACTTTTTGTTCCCTCAAAGTAATATCCAATTAGAGTAAAATATTTGATTTGAAAATTTATCAATCTGTCGTTATATTGCACATTATTTTGACAATGTTTTCAGAGCCCGCCGTTTGTGATCCGAAGAGTGATGAATGATACCGTCATCTACAGCGGAGTCTGCATAGATCTACTAAACGAACTAGCACGGAGGCTGTATTTCAGGTACAATTGCAATTGGAAAAGCCGACCAACAGATTTTGAAGATATCAGTCAAAACATTAGCGAAACCTGCATTTGTGCATCAATGTTTTTCCTTGTATAAGTTATAGCTGTCATATTTCTGTTTCTTGAAAGTCAAAACCATTAGCCCTAAGTACCAGCTATCACTTTAGTAAAATCCACATTGTCACACAATGCTAACATTTAGGATTTTAAAATCAACAGTTTCACCATTGTGGAGCCAGAAGATGGTGAATGGGGAAATCTGGTCGACGGCAAATGGACAGGTCTGGTTGGACAGCTTGTTGAAAAGGTAGGTATAAACGATATAATTATGGCAATGTACCTTTCTAAATTATGTATACGTCGTTAAGGATGTGTTACATATGGCTCTTATGTGTTGATTTTTCACATATTAGACAATTTATTTGTGATGATGTTCCTACTTTATGTGAATTTTTAGACATTATTCTAACCACTTGATTTTAGCATGCTTAAACGAAATCAAACTTTTCGAAAGTATTTAGATTTATATATCAGAGATCCGTTTTACACCCTTGCATGTGATACTTCACTATTTATGTGATTTTCAACATCACTTTTATTGTGTTCAGTGTATTGTAAAACGAAAGACATTTTCTCGCCGCGAATAGCTACAACATTGCTGATGCGGCATTAAGCAACATTCACCCACTCACTTTAGGATGTGTTATGAATAATAAAATACAGCAAATATTGTGAAATTCATATTAATTATAAACGCATGTAGCCACAAGTATGACTTCATAAAAGGATGACTAGAGGAATAGTTATACTGGGGTACTGACAAGATTAACTGAGCAACAGGTGTTTCACACCCAAAAATATGGATAAAATATTACTGTTCTGCTCTGCTCTTTCGAAAAGCAACAGATCTAAGAACTCCCAAAGGTCTAAGGCCTAACAACTCTAAGTCGTATTGTAGTTATTTTCCGATATTCTGACATGGTATCGCAACAATACAATTCGTGTACACGTACTTACAATTTACAGTTATCACGTTTCTTTTTTATTTGTTTATGCTGTAACATACTTGACAAAATATGTTAAATTTCACAGGTATTTCCTGCATGCACAGGGGCGGTGGGGTAGCCTAGTGGTTAAAGCGTTTGCTCGTCATACCAAAGACGCGGGTTCGATTCCTCACATGGTTACAATGTGTGAAGCCCATTTCTGGTGTCTCCCGCCGTGATATTGCTGGAATATTGCTGAAGGCGGCGTAAAGTTAAACTGACTCACTCACTCCTGCATGCACAATATCATCTTCAGTATGTTTCATTTGAGTTACAAAATGCAGCAAATCCGTTAAATGGCCCCAATGGCGTTAGTCATTATTATCAGTGGTAATGCGGACAGCCTGGGTATAAGTAATACCTTGATGACAATAACTAAACTGCAAATCCTTAACAAACTTACAACTCTGCCTCAGTCGGATTGAATCAAGATTTGATTTGAGTTTGATCGTTTAAAGCAATCGCAGATAGCAGATTCTTAACTCAGATTTGCCCGACAACTCAAATCGTACAATTTGACCTATTTAACAAGCAAAACACATGGCAATCGGATTAAGATCTCATTTCGTCATTGCACACAATGGTATCAATATTCCATTATTTTATTAACAATATTTTGTTCATGTATGCAAATAATATAGTTGTCAAGAGCATCCCATTTTGTCGTGCCACCAATACACTGTCCATCATTTCATTACGGCAGATCATGACAATCAGTAACCCAGTATTGTGTCTTCTAACATGAAGGAACATTGTCTGATTCCTGCATTTGTTATACATTTTTTGCAGAAAGCAGATTTGGTTGTTGCTCCTATTGCAGTCACCAAATCACGAGAGGAAGTTATCGACTTCACTGTACCGTACTTCTACGTCAAAACGGGCATCATCATAAAGACGCCATCAGCAACAACATTGTTTACGCTTATCTCCCCTTTCCACTACAAGGTCCACATGTGTTTAGCCATAGCACTCGTCCTGTCAATGACTTTCGTACTGATCCTGGAAGTGCTGACTTCGAAATGTTTTCTGTACAGGCCAGTTGATAAACTGAGACGTTACGGTGATGCAGGCTTTAACATCTTTGGCTCCCTCGTGAATCAGGGTTTGTACTGTTCAAACTACTTCATCTGTGTTTAATATAAGACTTACTCCTGTATTACTGGAACAGATTCAGTCTTGTTTTCAATGCACTGACTGAGACTGATACAGAACTTAACTAAAGAAACTTAGGCTGTATGATATACAGCGCGTGGCCATATTATTACGTACAATTGTAACTGCGTTCATATTGTGTATATATAGCGATGCCCGTTTTAAAAACACTGCTACTCAAAAACGACAAAGCGTATCGTCATAATATTTTGTCACATGATCGACCATGATGTCACGTGTCTGTCACGTGACTCTATTTTTATTCATTTGTCGTCTGCTACATATTATGGCTACTTCCTGCAACAATGGGGAATTTGTCGGAGCCACTTAAGACATTAATCGTCAACAAGTTTCAAAGTGGAGAAAAATGTTCTAACATTGCAAGATTCTTTGGAATGCCTCGAAGCAGCGTACATTCGGTGGTAAAGCGGTTTAATTGATGTGGATCAGTCGCGAATGCTCACAGAACAGGCCATATGAGAAACTGACTCCTCGGGACAATCGACAACTCTTGAGGTTGGTCAGGATTTCATCATCGGGTGAAATAACTGAAAATGTGAACAAGAATAGGACTACACGTGTATCGTTGAGGACTGTAAGGAGACGATTGTATGAAAATAAATTTCATAGACGTGTTGTTAGAAAGAAAATCCGAATTCGTGGCTATAATGTCAGAAATCGTTTGGCCTGGGCAAGGGGGCAACGATATCGTACAGTGAATAATTACTGGAATCGAGTGATCTTCTCTGACAAGTGTAAAATTATCATTGGGGAAAACAATCAAGTTTTTGTTTGGAGACAGTCCGGTGAAGACTACCCCCCGCAATGTATTTGTCCGGGACGACAGCCACGCGTCAGTTTGATGGTGTGGGGTTGTATCAGCTGGCATGGTGTTGGTACCATTTGTGTTGTTAATAGCTAGATAAATGCTCAGAAATACACAGAAATCCTCGATGATATGCTTTGGTCCGTTATAGCCAGACATTTTCCGGAAAACAGGTATATCTTCCGAGATGACAACGCCCCTGTACATCGGGCCCGTGCCGTTCAGGACAAAATGACAAAATAAAAGCGACAAAATGACATTACTGGAATGTTGTGGCCTGCACAGAGTCCAGACACAAATATCCTTGAGAACTGTTGGCTCTACCTGATGAATAGACTTCAGGGACGCCGAAGAAACATTCAGTCGGCTGCCAACTTGGAACGCAAAGTGCGGAGATCTGGGAAAATATTCCCATCGATTTCAACAGAAATCTTTATGCATTGATTTCAAGGCGGATGTTGAAAATAATAAAGAACAAGGGACACATCACAACATATAGAGGTATGGCTGTTTACATTTAACGAGTTATGACACTTTGAAATCCCGCGTAAATTTGTCATCAACAATTGGTCTGCCATGTTTGTACATAATAATATGGCCACCCGCTGTATGTATTTATATACATCTACAAATGTATTTGCACCAATTCTTTCAAAGATCGATACCTGACACGTTATGATCTTTGCACGTTACAATACAGTCATACTTTCGTTAAAGGCATGCTTGCTTTTCTCGCTCATTTTCTTCGTATTTAGCAAGTCTCAGGCAGATTTAAAATGAAACTTCGAAATTCTTGATCAAAGTGACTGAAGTATTTTGTTTCAACAACTTTCTGTAACCATTAAGGAAGTAATTACACACCATCGATGGCGTCGTCGCGGATCCTGCTGAGTGCCTGGCTGCTGTTCACGGTAATCCTCTCAGCCACTTACAGTGGGAACCTAATAGCCTCCATTACTGGCGGGAAGCAGAAGCTTCCTTTCTCCACCCTTGCAGAGTTGGCTCAACAGGACACTTATACCTGGGGCTTCGACGGGGGATCGAACTACCTTTCTCTTTTCAGGGTAAGAGCTTATCAGGGTAAGAGCTTATATCAAATCCCACAGCTCTCGGGTTGTGGGATTATTGTGGTTTCAAAAAGAGCAGAGGAGTATGCAAATAGGTTGGCAGAAGCTGCACATACGCTGCAAACCAAGAAGAAGACCAAGTTCTACATCCTGTGTCCTGCAATAAAACAAACTATTGCGACAGATAGAAATTGAGTACAAAACAAAAAAGATCCTTTCTATATGGAAGAGACAAAAAACAAAAGGATGTGTATTGGACTACTTTTTGTGTTCCGTGTGTTGGACTACTTTTTTGTGTTCTATATGTTGGACTACTTTCGTGTGTTCCGCTAAATTTGTCCTGTTTTTGTGGGGACTGTGGAGGGCAGAATTGGGGTGAAAATGCTTGATAATGGGGGTTGTGGCTGAACTGTCATTGTGGATACTACTGCTTGTGAACACCTGCAAAGAGCTCGAGAACAGTAGAAGAGGTGACCAGTGATGTCTTGTTAAGTGTAATTAAATACATTAAACCTAACTTCTACATGGATGTTACATATGGGCAAGCACGGCATTTTACATCATAATTCACAATAAGCCTCTGATGACACTTGCTCTCTTTTTTGACAAATTGTAAAAAAATTAAGGTTAGGTATATCACTCTATCTACGTTTTATGGCAAAGGTTCAAAGAACTGAACGTTTCTCTTATCTTTGTCATGTTGGATAGTACTGTATAGCATGGCAAACTCAAATGTTTTGACGGTGTACAACTTTGACAGAGAAACATTTTGAGATTATTATGAAGAAAAAATAATTCAAGACACCTCAGTTAAAAAAAGTTCCATTGATTTGTTAACATGTTATGAGAATGAAATACAGAACGTCAGTATACAAGAATATCCAGTCTTTTGACTATCCGCAGAAACAAAGCTGTGAAATTAATATGAATGGATCAATGAAAAGCAGTGATGACACCAGGTGTTCGGTCAGCAGGTCCTGCCCTACCGGTAGCACCCGCTATTTACAAAAACGCTATGTATTCGCAGGACTCCAACCTCAGTGACTACCAGGCCATATGGCAGGGTATGCAGACCAACAGGGAGGACACAGATGTGATGAGCATCGATAATGACGTACACCTGCGTAGAGTACTGCAAGGCCGCTATGCGTACATTGGGGACGAAACCTTTTTCGAGCTTTGGAAAGGCATGAGTTGTGACTTGCAAATGGTGGAACAACAGTTTGACTTATTGCAGTTTGCACTTGGTCTGCCAAAAAACAGTACAAACACCAAGGTCTTCTCAAATGAGTAAGTAATGGCATATTAATGTTTTTCTTGTATTTGTCCATAAATATATTTATTCAAGTTTATTTTATTTTCTAATTATGTCATCAAAGTGATAAGATATGATTTATTTAAATGTTGGAAGAACAAAATTAGTAATTTTGGAGAATTGGCTTTCATTGCCATTATGTTCAACAACTGACCACAGTGGTCCAGTTTCAATAGTCCGAAGGGTATCAGGTCTTATGAATTTACCAGTTCTAGTAATTGGTAAGTTAAATTAAAAACCTATATGATCGTGAAGGTAATCCTTAGCAACAAAACCGTATCCTGTAAGGCTAAGACGCACACACGCTGGTGCGCTTAAAATAATGTTCAGTGAATTGTCAGTGATGGCACTAGGTGTTCGCTAAAAGTGTAAGCAACTCCTGATTTGCCGATAAAAAGAATGGTACTCTCTTAAGTATGTGTTTGTAATCTCGAAAATGTTTAAATTTCATCAATTAATAGTCCTTTTGTAGTTGACAGCTACATTTTCAGGCTGTTTGGTGAATCGAAACAGTGTAATTTTGTAAAGAATGCTTGTAAAGAAGGGCTGGTTTGGGCGACTCCATCGACATGTGATAGGATAATGGCAAGACAGTGATTTGATGGAGTATATACACTAGTATGGTAATTCAGAATTGATACGAATGTTTAAATTCGAATTATATGTCTTCGGATCGAGTTAAGTTATATGAATGCGACAGCGTCGGATTTTGTCCAAAGAATGAGTGAATAAGGTAGATTTCATTCGGTTTGAGTTATGTCAACTAATATAATACTAATGAGTTATGTAGGGACGAACGAATAAGCACTTTTCTTCTCTATGTAAATCAGAATAGCCCATTTCTAAAAAGTGTTCTCACTTGATTTTGCGTATATATATCCATATCCAAATCGGTTACATCACCCAATAATTCAACATTAAAACAGCCATTCTGTGAACAGTTCATTACAAAACGGCATGCACCAGTGTGTGTGGTCAGCAAAGGAAAAGTAAATTGCTTAATTGACCAAGCACATGTGTCACAAACTCCTAATCAATTTAGATAGTGTTGGAGTAAAGCTCAAAATGACTCGGGGAATAGGCGCGTGGCAAATTCTGTAATCGCTGCCCAAACATTCAAAGTAAATTAAAACTGTCCACTTTTGTAATTGTAGAATATGTGTCTTTTTAATGTATGGCTAGATTTGTCTAAATTGCTAACAGCTGAAGGGATGGTGTAAATCCAGCTACGGTCCATGCAGGAAGCAAATGTACTATAAGTCCCCATGGTCCCTAGTATGGTGATCAGCTGTTTGCAATCTATATATAGCCTGATTATCCCCCGCCGCGCGTTAAGCGCGAAGCGGGGGATATAGTATTAGGCACTGTCCGTACGAATTGGAATATCTGAAGAACTGTTGACTAGATTCTTTCCATATTTGGTACCTAGGTCCATCACATTATAAGAAAGGTCCCATTTAGGTTCGGTGACCTTGACCTTCATTTCAAGGTCACAAGGGGACTTTAACGTTTTACCCTTGTCAGCGAGCTATCTCAAGAACCGTTCACTGGATTTTCTTCATATGCGACACCAAGCTTAACCTTGCAGGGCCCAGTCGATTTTGGTGACCTTCACCGAATTTTCAAGGTCACAGCGTCAGCATGTTAAGCTGCATGTTAAGCTACTCAGCACGCTATCTCAAGAACCGTTCACTGGATTTTCTCCATATTCAACACCAAGCTTAACCTAGGGACGGCGCAGGGCCCAGTCGATTTTGGTGACACTTAATGAATGTTCAAGCTCACAGCGACACTTTGAAGATTTCAGCATGTTAAATTGCATGTTAAGCTTGTCAGCCAGATACCTCAAGAACCATTCATTGGATTTTCTTCATATTGGACATCACGCTTCATCCAGGGAAGGCGCAGGGCCCAGTCAGTTTTGGTGACCTTCACTGAAGTGTCAAGGTCACAGCGACACTTTGAAGATTTCAGCATGTTAACCAGCATGTTAAGATTGTCAGTGAGATATCTCAAGAACCATTCACTGGACTTTCTTCATATTTGACACCAAGCTTCATCTAGGGAATGTGCAAAGTCCAGTCAGGTTTGGTGACCTTCACATAATTGTCAAGGTCACGGGGACACTTTGAAGATTTCAGCATGTAAAACTGCATGTTAAGCTTGTCAGCGAGCTATCTCAAGAACCGTTCACTGGATTTTCTCCATGGACTTTCAAGATTTCCCTTGAATGTTTTCCAATAAGCAATTATTACTATTTTTGCATATTTTATACACTAAGACATTCATGTCAAGGTCAAAGCCAGTCTTGAAAATATTTGTGCGTTTGAACAACTGCAGAACAAGATATCAAGAGAGGCTGACTGGTCATGTTTTTGCTGACATTTAACTTCATCTTAAATTACGACCTTCACTTTCAATACTTTTTAAGTTTGATTTTAATAATTTGCGGCGGGGGATTATGTCACCTTAGTGACAATGCTTGTTTTATATTCTATTGTCCTCTATAGTTAAAATATTTTAGACTTAATTACTCGTCTTAAATTTATTCCTTGGATAATCTAGTTGTTTGAACTTTCCTTTGCAGACAGGTAGGTATATTATATAATATTAAGTTTGTTTTTATTCATTTATACATTGACAGCTTTCTTAGTCACGATATGGCTGAAATACTGCCGATGTGACTTCTAATTGTAATTTACTCACTCACAAACCTACAGACGGTGAAATGACATCATTTACAAAATACACACATACACACAAACACACACACACACACATACATACATACATACATACATACATACATACATACATACATACATACATACATACATACATACATACATACATACATACTTACATAAACTTCAATGTGTTCTTAAGTCACTTTCACAAGGGGAAGGGGGTGGAGTTTCGAACCCCCTGAAAACAAACACACACACAGACACACGCACACCTGGATTTGACAATGTCACGTGCTAATATCCCATTCATTATGACGTCATACACCCTCTTGTATCTTCTTTCAGGGTATCCGTCATATTTGAAAGTGGTCTTCCACGCCTCTGGTACAATCGATGGAAGCCCAAAGTCCAGTGTGAGATAAAGAAGAGACGACCCTACAGTGTTGACTTACTGGCATTACAGAGTCTCTTCTACATTGCTGGTGTGGGCGTTGTCCTGTCTGTGGTCGTGCTTGTCGCTGAAATCCTGCATAGAAGAAAATGTAAAAAGACAAGAGGTACAGAAGCTCATTTTACTCGATAGAGTAATGAGATGGAGCTTTGGTACCTGTCAATTCCGTTGACATTTTGTGTGGTACTGTACACAGAAAAGGGCGAGGGTAGAATTATACAGGAGGTCAGTTTAGCGAACTGACGTTAAAATGATACTGGAGGCGATGGTGGTTTAGGGAGATTACTTGCATTGCTTACGAGCACAACCATCAATCTGCTCAGCGAAGCACAGCTAGCGCCACCTATGTGATAAGGGAGGCTTCTCTGAACACAAATAGTTGAGCAACGTACATGTGTGGTATAACTCTTCCCAAATTCTGTATTAATAATATTAAAACTGCACTACGATGCCGTTCTTTCCTTCAATTCAAAATAGATTTATATAATTACTTCATCGGCATTCGATGAATTTCAACAAAAGTTCATGTCTTTTGCTAAAATTTCAGAGTTTTGTGCTTACACTTAATAATGCATCAGTGACTTTGACCTTCAATCGATCATATTGATCAGGGATGCAGTGAAAACATACAAGGTCTACAACTATTAAAAATACAGAAAACATTAGTTATTCATGAGATGTTTTATTAATATGTTCAGTTACAGCAAATCACTTTGACGGTTCAACGCCACTTGACTAACAGTTTAATGATATGACGACATGTCAGGTTTATACCCATTTTAAACAGTCACTCGTGATCGAATATGGTGTTGGATATTATACATGTAGGATGATTTGCTCATGAACATAGAAATTGTTTATTGTTTTACAGTTGCCATGTTTGCATATATATTTTGCCATTTTGTTGCTGTTTTGCCTAATAACTGCATCTTATTAAAGATCTATCTACAGAAACACTGGCTAAAATTGCTATAATAAAATGATAATTAACATTATTTAAAAGATCCTTAACACGTATAACACTGAAATATTTGTCCCTTGTGATAAAATAAACCAATACAGTCAAGCAGGACATTCTAAAGCAAATACTCATATTTATATCTTGAGTGGCCAATAGGACAACGTCGTATAATGACCTCGTCAAATCATGACTGACAACCCAAGTAGCTATAACCAATATAGGGGTTTATTTCATGTAATTTTTTAAGACCTTTTTGGGTGTCCCACTTCTTCGGCATCTGATCACGGATGTTCGATATAATGATAGCTTTGTAATCAGAGTATGGAATGAGAAGTGTATTTGATTTGATGAGTGCTGCCTTAGCAGTAAAATCGGCCATTGTGTTACCATAAATGTCGTACTGGCCAGTTGTAAGATCATATATAATTCAATAATTTCAATTAACAGTGGATGTTAGAAGATACGTTTTTAATAGCCTAAAGGCAAGAAAGAGAGTCCGAAAATATGATATATTGTTTATATTTAGGGTGTTTTTTATAATCCATTTAAGGTCTGTTAATATGGCGCTTGCTTCTGCTGTAAAAATAGAGCTGTTATCTGGTATTCTAGAAGATATTGCTCTGGATCTAATGACAGTGGCACAAGCCACTACGACACCATCTTGTTGGAAGAACGTTCGTGCTCTTTCATTGACTTTTCTCTCTGTTTGTATTATTTCCTTTGTTTTAGGTATGTTTAAACCTTTTGACCATGTCGATTCCTTTTCATGTAAAACACTCACGTTGGACGTTTGTGTATCGTGTGATTTAGTTTTGGAATAGTAACTGATTTTAGAAATTTGTTTCCAGAGTCTATGTAAAAAGGGAAAATTCGAAATTTA